GCATGACTACACGGGGTAGTATTCACAACTAGAAGTCTCTTTCTGAGTAGCCCCTCACCTCAAAGAAAAACAGAATATTCAAAAGAGAGCCTGGAATTGAGCAGGTAGAAGACAATTGTTTTTTTTCTTCAAGCTCCTTGACCAACGGAAGAATCTGTATTGATCTGATAAATTGGTTAATATGCTCAAAACAACACTATTTGGGGGGCTGATGTGAATGATCTGTCTTTCGCAGTCCCTGGTCACCTTCAAAGAAATGCACCAACTGGTGCTGAGAAAGACTTGAGGGTTCAGATCATCTTTACTTTCAGCTGCTGACTTCTGTGTCCTTTGTCACGGAGAAAGTAAAGGCAATCAGAAAATGTCTTCAACTTTCTCCATCACGTGTATCCCTTACTGGCATCTCTACCAAATATGCTCCACTCTTCCTTCTCTTCTTGATGAGATGCTCTTGCTCCTGTCTGAGCTTAGCTACTCTTTCTCTGAACTAGGGTAGGGTCAACACACTTTTTAAATAAAGGACCGGATAGTGAATATTTTAGGCTTTGTGGTCCATATGGTCTATGCCATAACTACTCATCTCTGTCTAGAGAAGGTAGCCATAGACACTATGTGAAAATGGACATTGCTGTATTCCAATAAAAGTATAAAAACAGTGGTGGACCAGATGTAGCCCCTAGGCTTTGGTTACTGAGCTCTGCATGAGATCCTACTGCATCTCCTACTCAAGGACTTGCTCTAACAATTCTTCTTTCCTACATCAGCACATTGTTTTCCCTCTATGGGACCATTCCTATTAGCATACATGTATATTGTTGCTTCTCACATCTTAAAAACCATTTCTGGACCTTGCTTCCTATTTGTCTGCTGTCTTTCACATCAAAACTTCTAAAAAAGAGCAATCTTTTTTTTTTTTTTAAAGATTTTATTTATTTATCTGACAGAGAGAGACAGCAAGAGAGGGAGCACAAGCAGGGGGAGCGGGAGAGGGAGAAGCAGGCTTCCCACTGAGCAGGGAGCCTGATGCAGGGCTCAATCCCAGGACCCTGGGATCATGACCTGGGCTGAAGGCAGACACATAATGACTGAGCCACTCAGGCGCCCCCAAAAGAGCAAACTTTTCGGCTTCCTTTTTTCTCCCTTGTCAATATTCCCCAGAGCCCATTCCAATAGGCTTTGACTTCACCACTCCACTGAAGTTACTCTAATCAAAGTCACTAATGACCTCTATGTCATTAAATGCAGTGGTCCGCTCTTGGTCTTCATCTTGGGCAGCATTTGACCCTATTGTTGATCACTTTATTCTCCCTGAAATATTTTCTTCACCTGGCTTCCAATGACACATACTACCTCACTGCCTCCTCACTGGCCTCCTTTTCTGATTCTTTCTTATCTCAATCTCTTCATGTTGGAGTAGTGATGACTCAGGTCTTGGACATCTTCTCTATCTATAGTTATTTCCTGGCTGATCTCATCCAATCTCATTAAATATTATGTATAACCTGATGACTTCCAAATTAATGTATTATATTTGGCACTCAACTCCAGGCTCGTATATCCAACTCAACATATCCACTTGAGTGTCTAATAATGATTTCAATCTGAACATAAAAAACTGAACCCTTACTATATACCCCCAAATGTGTTACACTTTAGATTTTCCCTAAGATGTAAGTGGTATTTCTCTTGGGCCAAAACTCTAATATCATCCTTGATTCTTCTCTTTTTCTGGCATGCACCATACAATTCATAGGCCTCTGCTCTCAATTCTTCTTTCAAATATGTATATATATAGACTCCTTTTCATTTCCTCTGCAGCCCAATGTTGGTCCAAGTCACTAACAACTCACTTCAAATATTTTAGTAGTTTCACTGGTCTCCCTGCTTCCATTATTGCCTCTCCCCAGGCGGTCTATTATTGACTAAACGGTTAAGTCAGGTTGCGTCCATCCTCTGCTCAAAACCCTCAATGGCTTCCATCTTCCTCACAATAAAAGTCAAAGTCCTTAAGAAGCCCATATCACAACACAAGGAATCAACTTCTGCTGCCTTGGCTAGTTTCCTTTGCTGATACCTTCGCACAAGTCATGTAGCTGGGAGTGGAGAACTATTGGAAGTTAATGGTAGAAGAGTAAAAGGAAGGGTGGTGATATTCACCTCCTCCCCATGGCCCCCAAGAGAGGTCAGGCATCCCATGGAGGGGAACAGAAGTCCAGGAGTTCCAGGGGGTAATAAACGTGTATGTGTCCATTGGTCCCTAGGGGAGCAGAGGATGCAGGAAGAAGTATGCGATTCAGAGGGCAAAGGTGAAATCATCTATTTCCCTGACACATTAAAAGGAGTGCCCCTCCAGGGAGCAGGGAAAGCTAATACTTAGGGTATAGAGTGGTTGGAAAGTCAAGCTCCATAACAAAAATTATGACTGTTGTATAATTGCAAGAGATACCATATTTTTAGTTCAACTACAGAGAGAAAAATTGAAAGACAGTGTTCTCCCTTATCAATCTTTTAAGAGTCACTTGTCCTAAAGAATAAATAAAAAGTTCAAATTCAAGTGATTTATGTAAGAAAGAAAGCATGCAAATCTGGAATAATATATTTAGGAAAGTTCTAGTTCTGATTAATTTTTAAAATTGATCCAAGGGATTTCTCAGAAATCTATGATATTGCTGTAATTGAGCAAATTCCTTCAGATTTTTTCCCTTCTCTGTACACCCCCATCTCCCCCACTCATGCCCTCTCCTCCTGCTTTATTCTTCCACACAGATCTCCATCTAACCTCCAATATATTTCCTTCATAATTGTGATTTATCTGTTTATTTCTCCCAGAATGCTGGCTCTCAGCACTCTAGAATGTCGTATCCCTAACATTGGAATTGTGGTTGGCATAGAGAAGGCAACTGACAAATATGTGTTGAACGAATGAATGAGCCAGAATCCCTTCGTAAATAATTTCTTCTGGAGACATTCGAGTTTCAAAGCAGCTCAGGTTTCCGTCAGGCATTCTACATAATGAGAGAGGTTGTCTCCTTTGGTGTTGCCACTACACAAAGCATGATGTACATAATGGGCCCCAGAGATTAAATAAAAGGTGTGATGTTATGAGACAATACTGACAATTAGAAGGAGGGAAAGTAAGTTTTCAGAGTAAAGTGGTGTTTGCAAATCTTAACCTTCTGGCTGAGCAATTTCAGTGGGGAAAAAAAATACCCTACTGGGAAGGCAGGAAACGCAAAACATATTCTGTAGCTTCATTAATTATACCAGGAACATCAAGTTGCTGCTGAAAAAATGTCTACAGATGCAGTCCTGATGGGGAATATTACAGGGCTCAGAAATCAAAATCCCCAAAGAAAATTAGTGGGTAGGAGTGCACAGAGAGGAGGAAATTGAATATGTTTTAAACATAACTGCACAAAGGTTTAATGCAGTATAAGATATGTAGATTGGCTTCTAATATAAAATCTATATTCACTCTTAGTAAAAGCCTCCCTGAAAGTCACTGTCATTTACTGAATGTTTCTGAGAGTTAATGAATCTCCTGAATTGGTTATTTTTTAAACTGAATATGGTTGTATTTGGGGAAAGATATTTTAAAAATATTTTTGCAAATCATTACTATTTATTTATCCATGTTCATTCATCCATCCATCCAACCATCCATCCATATACTGAGAAATGAAGTATATACAACTCACAGATTACTAACAGTACACCAGAATAAGAACTCTTGCTAGGCAAGTATTATGCTGTCACACTGAATGTTTCACAAAACTGAAGTCTATCCAAAGGTCAAAGTAAGTTATACTACAGAAGCAAATGAATGACTTGGTTCTTAAAGAGGGAAAATAGACTAGGTCTGTAACACAGTCTTGGAGAATAGTTTCTAAAGACCTCATGCTGTTAAAACTGGTTGGCATTTCATTTCATTCCTTTGGAAGAAGTAAAGTTGATGCCATGTAAATGTTGGAAATAAGCCTCTACCATAATCACTAAAGAATTAGAGGTCAGGTCATTACTTCTGGTGTAGCTCAAAGAAATGTCAGACACTAAGGGTTAAAAATGTATAAATCATAATGATGACTGGCTTGACATGACCCCATAGTTGTGATCCTTGACACGAGAAGTTCTATAACGGCACAGATACGACATACAGACTTAAAAGTATTCTTTGATTCATATTCTTAATTCTTGGAGGGAAGGTATGAAGGGTAAGGATCATCATTAGTATCCTGTGAACTGTAAACATGAAAAAAAGAAAGCCCTTCTTTTGATATGTTCATTTCAGTGCTCTGACTTTCATGGCAATTGGACTATCCCAGAGAAAACATCAAAGTGGAGTCCAGGGTTCCCAGAAATTAATGGCTTCTTGTTTGATAAATCTTGCCTGTATTCTAGTTATTTCTGTATGTATCTGAAAGGCCTGCTATGATAGTAAATTAGCAAGTCCTTAATGGAGAGGACCTGTCTAATTTACTATTCTAATCCATAACTGAATAAATGTTATTTATTGTCATTATTTGAAATTTTTGTTTTAAAATTGTTTTATTTCTGCTCATATTCATTGAGCAGCTACCATGTGCATGCTGGTGGGCTAGGGGCTACACAGGGTAAAAGAAGTTAAAAGGTGTTAAGGATATCTGCTCTCAAGGAGAGGATTGGAAAGGAGATGGGGTCAGAAGTGGTTTGGGATGAGGCTAAAAAAAAATGTGTGAGGACAAGGTGTTGAAGTGAAATAAAACATGGTTTCACTTATATTTTCTTCTGCAAAGAAATTACATCAAATGCCTTATTCCTAATGAAAAATCTTCATAATTCTTAGTAGATGCCATTATATGGAAGCGTTTGAATTACACTTCTACTTGGCAGCTGAATTATTTTCAGATGTAATTTCAACACATGTTAAATATGACAAAAACTCAATCTTTTGCAGGCATCAGTACAACGTCATAAGGATTCAGAGTGAGGTGACAAACGTCAGAAGTTTCTATCCACTGTACCTTGGCCACTTCTTCTTGGAAAGCCACAAGATTCAAATGGGAGATGTTAACCAAGTCAGGCCCATATACCACTGTTATCATGCGATGCTCCAGGCGCCCGATGTTCCCCACATCCAAAAGTTCACGTAACTTGGGGTCCTGGATAATAAACATTGAAAAAAGTTAGTCTATACCTAGAAATTCCAACATGGTAGCATAGTTTTAAAAGCATTAGACCTAGAAAGCCTTCAGAACAAAATTGCCTTTTATTCTTACTAAAAAAACAGTATGATTGAAGTTCCAAACTCCATCATGGCCCAGAGAGGTAAAGTAACTTGCTGAAAGGTTATGGAGAGAGAATTTCTTACTCAAGTCTTATGGTCCTTATGGAATTACATGAAGTGAAATGAGTGAAACAGAGAAATACAAATGCTGCATGTAGAATTTTTTTTAAAAAAGGTGAACTCAGAGAAACAAGAGAGTGGAGAGATGGATACCAGGGGCAGGGGGTGTGGGGAAAATGAGGAGATTTTGTCCAAAGAGTACAAACTTCCAGATACAAGATGAATAAGTTCTAAGGACTTAATATACTGCATGAGGATTAAAGTTAATAATATTGTATTATATACTGGAAAGATGCTAATAGTGTAGATCTTAAATGTTCTCACTACAAGAAAGAAATGGTTATTATGTGATGTGATGGAGGTGTTGGCTAATGCTGTGGTGGTAATCATCTTGCAATATATGCATGCATCAAATCATCACGTTGTACATCTTAAACTTACACAATATCATATGGTAATTATACCTCAATAAACCTAGAAAAAAATAAGAATTATGGTCCTCAGTCAATAGCTCTTTCTGTCATACGTCCTTTAGTAGCATATTTTTATGTGCCATAATTCTCCCTCTTTTTCCTCCAATCATCCCATGAATCACATAGTGAAATACAAAATCTCATCTCTCTCCTCAATTCATGACACATTAAGATGAAGAAGGTGATTCTTGTAGAATCAAAACATGATAATGATATCTAGGGCTGAGGCAGAAACATGGCTGAGAGTCACAGTTTGGACCTTCTCCAACACGGAGTTACGTTGTAAAGAAATAGGCTGTTAGACTGGGCAAAATGGCAGCACCTGTCATGAATATGTTCATTTCAATTCCATCCTCAGAACATACTGGGATTTGGACAGAGAGAACTTCTGCAGTCTTCAGAGTAAGTTCCATTCTTTGGGATACCGTAAGTGAAGATCCCTTGGAGATCTAGTCCTGCTAGATTTGGGAGGTTTCTGAACCTCCCAAATTGAAAGTAAGACTTAAACTAGGACTCATTCTCCTTGGCTGAATTCATTTTCCTCTCATAGGAAATAAGAGGTCCATGCAGAAAATTAACATCAAATCAATCACTTATCTAATCTGCAGCAGCTTCTGAGCAAGGAATAAATTTGTATTCTTATTTATTTAGCTAAATGCTGGGCCAATGGGGCTTGGTTATTCTGATCTCCTTTCTGAGGCTTTTATTCACAGCATCCTTACAAAGAAAAAGTGGACTTAAAAAAACAAGAAAGAAAATAAACAAAACCTTCCCAGCTAAATTCTTTTATTCAGTGCCATTAATTCTTAGTTAATAAAACTTTCTCCTGTTTGGCTGTGTTAAGAGGAACATTTTCAGGTAAGTTATGAAGAGAGAAAAATCCATCTCAAAGATGTGCCCAATATAACTAAAACTTGAACTCCACTAACAAGTTGGGAACTTATCAAGTACATCAGGCCTCCTAGAAAGATCAAATGTTATCACAAGAACATCAGTTTGCATGGCCTAGAAAAGGAGAGGAATAGAGGAAAAATTTTATTAAATAAACAATAACAAAAAAGGGAAATTTTTAGCATTCTAGCGTTAATGAAAGATTAAAAGAAAAGGTTCAGGAAGAATGGACTTTCTGTGAAGGCTAATAAAGAATGATTCTAGCTGTTCTGTGATATGTTTAATTGCATCCTGATTTTTAAAAAGTTTTATTTATTTTTTAATTCAAGTATAATTAACATAGTGTTATGTTAGTTTCATGTGTACAATACAATGATGAAACAATTCTGTACATTTCTTAGTGCTCATCACTATAATTGTACTTAACCCCCTTAACTTATTTCACTCATCCCCCCACCCACCTCCCTGCTGGCTACTACCAGCTTGTTCTCTGGATTTAAGAGTCTGTTTTTTTGTCACTTTTTTTTTTCTTTGTTGGTTTGCATCACAGTTTTTGAACATGTTTGAAGCAAGATTAGAAAAGAAAATGATCAATACTTTTAATATTTTTTTTGTATACTTGGAAGAGAAAGGTAATTCTCAGAAACCATCTGAAACTTATAAATCACAAGTTTTGAATCAATGATTACAGAGTCTATCTGCAATATTGTAATTTATAAGAAAAATAAATTTGGTCATTCAGATGACCAAAACATATTTTTTCATATGTATTTGGTCTTCATCTGAAGTTCCTGGCTCACAGTCCCTAAAACCAGAACATTTTCTGTTCAGTCTGTATTACTTTACTGACTAATTCTCATGTCTTTTAAAACCACTTTTGTGCAAATGGCAAGATCTCATTCCTTTTGATGGCTGCATAATATTCCATTGTATATATATATACACCACATCTTCTTTATCCATTCATCTGTTGATGGACATCTTGGCTCTTTCCATAGTTTGGCTATTGTGGACATTGCTGAAGTGGTGGGAGGTGGGAGGGATGGGGTGGCTGGGTGATAGACACTGGGGAGGGTATGTGCTATGGTGAGCACTGTGAATTGTGCAAGACTATTGAATCACAGATCTGTACCTCTGAAACACATAATACAATATATGTTTAAAAAAAAAAAAAGATAGCAGGAGGGGAAGAATGAAGGGGGGGAAATCAGAGGGGGAGAGAACCATGAGAGACGATGGACTCTGAAAAACAAACTGAGGGTTCTAGAGGGGATGGAGTGGGAGGATGGGTTAGCCTGGTGATGGGTATTAAAGAGGGCACGTTCTGCATGGAGCACTGGGTGTTATGCACAAACAATGAATCATGGAACACTACATCAAAAACTAATAATGTAATGTATGGTGATCAACATAACAATTAAAAAACCACTTTTGTGCACTTATTATATAGTGATTGATTAAAGAGTACCATCTCTCAGAACTGTATGGACTAGGTGTGGGGGTCAAGGGGTTCACATGAGTTGTCCTTAAGCTATAGGAATGCAAGGGAAGTAGACAGCACTTAGAGAAGGTGCCAGAATAGAAAATAATTCTGGGGGTGCTTGGGTGGCTCAGTTGGTTAAGTGTCTGTCTTCGGCTCAGGTCATGATCTCAGGGTCCTGGGATCGAGTCCCTCATTGGGCTCCCTGCTCAGCGGGGAGTCTGATTCTCCCTCTGCCTCTTGCTCATGCTCTCTCTCTCCATCTCTCTCAAATAAATAAATAAATAAATATTTAAAAAAAAGAAAATAATTCTGGAAAAAGACAATATTGTTAGGTATGGTCAACAGGAATTTATAAGATGATCAATTCTTTGTGGCATCTCTGTAAAAATTTTCCCACTAATGGCTGTTTATATATAATTTTAAAAACAATAGATTTTTATGTAATTAGAAGTATGGAATGCAGTATTTGGAGGTAATGTCTGAGATTGGGAGGATAAGGCAGACTAGCAAAATGATGGGTGCTGATGATTGAATCTGAGTAGCAGGTATCTGAGAAACCATTCTATAAGTCTCTCTTTATCTGAGACGGTGGTACAATAAATAATAACAAAGAGTATTGAGCATGAACTGCAGGCACAGTAAGATTTGAGAAATATTCTTTCAATGGTAACCACAATATTTTAAAATTATGTAATTCTGGAAGTAAATAGAGAAATTGCTTAAAGTATATAATAAACAAGTTCCTTACTAATGTCCTTTTTTAGTGATTGATCATACCAATTTATTTTTTAAAGATTTGATTTATTTGACAGAGAGAGAGAGCATAGGCAGGGGGAGTGGCAGGCAGAGGGAGAGGGAGAAGCAGGCTTCCCGCTGGGCAGGGAGCCCGATGCGGGACTCGATCCCAAGACTCCAGGATCATGATCTGAGCCAAAGGCAGAAGCTCAACCGTCTGAGCCACCCAGGCGCCCCGATCATACCAATTTTTAAACTATATTTTACTGTCTTTCTTACCATTAATCATTTTGTTTGTTTTTACAACTACATCTTTTCTTTATATTTTATTTTTTAATCAACATCAAGCTTGGGTTATGTTAGCGTTCTCTCCCTTAAGAAATTACTTTTCTTTTTACCTATACTCTGAGTTTCCTCATTTTGAACTCAATATCCCGAGGTAACAGGATGGTTTCAAACCTTTGTCTCATTATTGAGCATGTTGACATACGAAGGGTATAGTGAAAAAGATATCTGTCCTTTCAAGTACCAAAAGTTGCCCGCAGGTGTTTTCAGCAGAGGAGACCCTCAGAGAATAAGCAAAGAGGGAATTATCGGGAAGGATAAACAGCAAAGGCACCAAAGTGTTTGGAGGACCTTATAGGTAGAAGGAATTTAATGGAAACGTCTAAAAAAATGGTTGTTTCTGGGGTACATCAGTCTCAGGTCTGGAGATATGAGTGGCTGCATTTCAAAAAGAAATGAATAAAATTAAAATAGTAACAATAACAAAAGCCTACAGACAATTTGCATGAAAACCACCCTCTCCTAAAAACTTATCCTACTAAGGATTTTATGTCTGAGATTCTTTTTCTTTCTTTCTTCTTTCTTTCTTTCTTTCTTTCTTTCTTTCTTTCTTTCTTTCTTTCTTTCTTTCTTTCTTTCTTTCTTTCTTTCTTTCTTTCTTTCTTTCTTTCTTCCTTCCTTCCTTCCTTCGAGAGAAAAGGAGGGGGAGAGAGAGCAAGCACACACACATATGCATGAGTGGGGGAGGGGCAGAGGGTGAGAGAGAATCCTAAGCAGGGCTCAGTCTCAGGCCCTGAGATCATGACCTGAGCCGAAATCAGGGGTCAGATGCTCATCTGACTGAGCCACCCAGGCATCCCTGTCTGAGATTTTCTTATTGATTGAAACTCCTGACCAGTTTTCAGAGAAGTATTTATTTATTTATTTATTTATTTATTTTCAAAGATT